TGCGGCATTATAATTGATTGAAGTGAGTGGATGTTGATACTTAATTCTCTTCTTCCTTTCGTTGGGGTTGGTTTTCAATATGAATGTAATTACAAAATTGATTAGGGAAAGATGTATCTACAGTAAGTCAACAAAGACTTCAATTCTCATAGAAAGATGAGTAATATAGTATTGCCAAGTGCTTCTCGCTTCACTTTTTTATCACTCCCTTTGTCAATTAAGAATGTTTTGCTTTACTTTATCCCTAATGTTTTGCCTTGATACAAGGTTTGGTTTTCTTCCCCCCCATACAATTTAATAGAAACCAATTTAGTAAACGACATGTTCCCACCCAAGGTTTAGTGAAATAGCAAGTTTCCACTATGCTTTTATAAATTCTAGATTTCCACTATTAAATTAACAAAGAATTGTTTAATGTAATGGTGAAAAGGTCAATTGGTCAAAACCCCACCTTTTTCCCTATCATTGCACATGTCGTTCGCTAGCCATAGCAACCATGTCGCGAGACTATTCTTTGTTGGATTCCGATCGATTTGGGGTGACAACCTCTCCCACCCCTCATTTCGTCGATCACCGCACATGGTTTGTTTTAAACGATTTTCACCTTTTTTTGGTCGATTATGATGTCGAAAATCCCTCTCACGACCACCATTCAACTCACTGGTCTCCCACCTCCAAAAATCCCAACACTGCCATCATTGATTGCTTATCGTTCTCGAATTCCTTTCTCCTTAGGGTTCACAATTTTGGTGTATTTTTGGGTTTGATTGGGTTCAAGTTGTTTCTAGGGAATTGAGAGGAGATTGTACTAATTTGAGGGTTAAAAAAATAATTTATTAATTTATTTGTCAAGGGTAGTGTGGTAATAACATCATCTGCATCTGTGTCAGAACTTAAAAATCGTTGATGGTATTAATTTAAGAGCAAAAATGTGAAATTTATGAAATCAAGGGTTTAAAACTTACCATTTCGCTAAACTTTGGGTGAGAACATGTCGTTTACTCCAATTGAACCAAACATCTAACAAAACCCAAATGGACTAGGCCTGTCTAACACAAGGATGACCTAATGCATAGGAAGAGATAAAAGGAAGATGAGGTGGTGTTGTCGGACTAGGGGTGGTCCTAAAAATGAAGATGAGATGGCGGCGGAGGAGATGGGGTTGGGTAGAGGAGGTTACGTACGGAGATGGATTTAGATATGATGTTTGCATTAGTTTCCAGAATTTGTACATATCATTTTGTGCTTAAAAAAAAATTCACTTCTTCTTCATTAATATAATTTTTGTCTTATTAAAATAGGGTGTTTAGAGAAAATTGGAGGTATATAATCCCACATTTTATAATCTTTTTTTATCTATATTTAAGGTTAAATGTTGTAAATAACCAAAAAAAAAAAAATATATATTGAAGTGGGACTAATGAAATCATTTTGTTTAGTTTAAAAGCAAAGAGATCCAATCCAACCAAGCCCAGTAGTGCTCTGTCAACTTGACTATTGATCAAGAAGAAAAATCAAAATTAAAAGGCAAAGTACACAAGTTAATGTTGATGGTAAGAAGAAAGCACTTTTCAAGATGTAATTACAACACAAAACTAGAGGTTCCCAATCAACTAAAAGGAAAAAAAGGAAACAAAATAGTAATTATTCAATATCTCACAATTCTTAATAAGCGCTTCTCCTTCCGCCACAATCCCTAGAAAAAGGCCTAGAATTGATAATGGCAACTTCCATCATCACTTCTTGCAGTTGGATCAAAGTTGTCTGCATTTGGATCAGTACATCCTTCAGGAACTGGAATACTCATTTGCTGGGCTGCTTGGCCTGCACAATTCAATAACAAATAACAGTCAATTTCTACTCTTAGTATCATTTTAATCTACTGAGTTTCGATCAAGTTTGTAAGAAATTTTTTATAAATGCAAACCTCCCATCAAGGCCTCTAGCTAGGATGGGAGCTAACCATAGAAAGAGCCACTCTTGATAGCATCATCATTGGCTTCACCAAGAGCAGCCTCGCTCAAATACTTGTCAGCCAATTGGACTCTCTTCACATTCTCTTGCTCTTGGACAAGCATGTTTCCATACTCCATGAGCTTCTCAATGGTCATCTTTGGCTGGTCAAATGTTGGTGGTCCGTCCTTTGAGTTCACAAGCCTCTTCCCAATGCCCTCAACACCAATTCCGGAAATCCAGTTTCTCACTTCATCGTCGTAAACTCTGGCCCTCAGGGCACCGAAGAAATCTGCACAAGTACAGGTAATTGTCATAAGTTTTCTCGGAAAAAAAATTGTAGTTTTAACATAGGAAAGTAGATAAATTACCAATGGATTGTCCGGGGAAGGAGTCAACAAGCTTGACAAGGTCATCTTCAGCAACATTGTCAGTCCTGAAGATACCCTTGCAGACACCAATACGGTCTTCCCTGGTGGGTGCCCAGTAGAATTTCTCCATACGACCGTCACGGATGAGGGGAGCATACAATGTGGAGAAATCGTTACCGGTGACGATGATGGGGACACGGGGGTTTTCCTCCTTGTTG